GGGTAAGTACTGTCCGCTGGTTGCAGTGTTGGTGTCCTGAGGAAGCGCCTGCAGGAAGAAGCCAGGCGACGGCCATCAGAAGACTCATACGCTGCACACAGGGAAGTCTCGCAGATAACACCAACCTCCCGCCTGGGCGCTCTGCCGGTAACGCCACATCGATCATGGCCTCAGCGCCCCGGTCTCTGCGCCCACGCATCGCTGCGGCGGGACGGAAGTGATTTATAACTAGCCGTTCTGAACCAACCTTCGGACTGCACTGCACTCTATGTTGCGAAACCACTGTGCAATATCACAGTACAGGTACAATGAAGTCATCTTATAGATATTATTACTTAGCTGCTTATTTCTTTGTCCACCTGATGGTCACCATTGGAGTCATTTTCGTTTGTGTAAATTAAATATGGATGCGTGCCGTTAGTGTAATATTTTGCCGTCTTAATTGTCAAATCAAGTCCAAGGGAGCCAACTCATTGGGTAGACCGAATTGTGGTTAGCAAACAGGGAGACCGAAGATCCCAATAGATTAACAAATAAGTACATTGATATACTATAATATACTAAATTATATGCAAACATACAGATACAGAGGTAAATTATAAATATAAAAGGCACAATAAGAAAAAAAAACATATACAGAATAGCTGGTAACTTTGCTGTAACAAATGTAACATGTCCCTCTATGGGACAATAAAAGGTCTCTTGATAACAAGGGACCAAAGTGCAGGACTTTAAATGCAGCGGTCATCTGTTCCTGCTGGAGCATGGTACCGGTGATGAGCTATCCCAGGCCCGGTCCTCCAGTCGCCAGGGTGCAGCCCGCAACACGCCATCCCAACCCAGCTGCTCGGATCCTCCCGAGACCCGCACTGGTGCAGGGCCCAGCCCTGCCCACCGAGCTCCTGCGGTGCGCAGGGCCAGGGCCTGCAGAGCCAGAAACCACGATAGAATGCAAGACCAGAAACAGAGAGAGGATCCTTGTAACAGAATCACTCCAGGTCCACACAACCAGACAAAGAACCAGAATCACACTCAGTCCAACAACCAGACCAAGAACGAGAACAGAATCAGTCTCAGGTCCACACCAGACAAAGGAACCAGAACCAGATCAGACTCGGTCCAACAGCCAAACAAGGAAACAGAAATCAGGAGCCTGCTGGTTGAGGACTGGACCTGTTTGGGTCGTTTCTAGACAGGACAGACCCAGAGACGCGAGTCAGGTGAACCGAGTGCTCCAGACCCTCCTGGTCCTCCCCATCCATTCTCAAGCCACTGGCTCAGCTGAAAACAGACCAACAGAACCATCACGGAACTAGGACTGACTGCAGAACTTCAGCTTGTCACATTTAAATAATGAAGTCCTTCGACCTGCGGGGGCCCGCCTCCCAGCTGCCCGACGCCCCCGGTCGAGGTCGGTGTTCCCGGACCACCGGCCGATCCCAGGTTCCCCGTCAGGATCCTCAGTAAAACCTTCAAGTCCTCCTGACCAGCTGCCACCTACAGTACGGTATACAAACTAGCACAAAACACTGGAAGCAGGGGGAAACGCTACCCAAACAGTAAGCCATTCTTCCCTAACACAGACACAAATGAGATCTATCTAAAACCAGTATTCACATGGGCGAAACACGGCTAAAGTTTCTGAAGCTAGAACAGGTACAGGACTACAAAATCAGATTGATGAGGACTGGTCAGAGGACAAGAGCAAGGGCGGGGTAGGAAAACGACGTGGTAAAGGGTGTGGTAGAGTGTGGTTGCATTTATTATCAGACTCATGGGGCTTAGGTCTCCATCCCCTCCAGCGCACCCATCTTGTACAAGAGGCGCCGACAGGTCCTCCGACCATCACTGCAGGTTCACCGGCTCCAGCACCGATGCAGGCTCCCCACCGCCGGCCGGGTCCGAGTCTGGGTCCAAACCGGTCCGTGATGACGAGTCATGTAGACGGGTATCTCTACTAGCTTGAGTCAGGTTAGAACTGTTATCTCTACACTGAGTCATGTTGAACGTGCGTTTATCCTACTAGCTGATCATGGTAGACCCACCGGGGACAAAGTTGAGCTGCGTCAGCTGGACCTTCCCATCTCCTCCAGCACGGCGGGCACGGGCAGCCGCGCGGGCATTACGAGAAGCTGTTTCAAAAACACCGTGATCAGACCCAGTCCATCACCAGTGCAGCTGGAGCTGGATTCTGGGCCGATATGACGCGCCTCAGCCCCCCCTGATGTCCATGGAACTAGACGGAAACTCTTCTGGGCAAAATCCTTGCACGCTGAGTGCCGCCTGAGCCGCCGCTTGAGCCGTGGCGCGCTCAGAGCCCTAAGCTTCCTGGAAGTTGTTGGAGAAGTTCGAAAGACAATAAAGATAGTTTGTGAAGCATACGGTGTTAGAAAGCCAAGTGGGTCGCTTTAGAATGGATCCCTCTGCGACTATTGAAAGTCAGAAAATCAACACGCAATCCACACATACGATCGGTATCGGAGAGAAAATGTAAAAACAAATACTTTCATTTTGAGTAGAAGATCATAGCCCATACGTCATATTACCAGGTAGCTTGTATCATGCAGATGAAATTCACCGGTCCTAAAAAAAAGGGCCAAACGCGCCTGATAGGGACACACTATAAGTCAGCGAGTCAACATCAACCAAACAATAATAAACATACAACACATGGAAATCCATGCTGCAATATACAAATCACACTACAAAGCATTCAGAACATTTTCATTATAAATATAAATGAAGGAAACATGGAAGAGTCTACTCCAACAGGAGGGTCTGGACCTGAAAGACCAGGTTCCTCTGAGACCCTCAGGACTCACGCAGCAGACATGATGAATGCAGGCTAGACGCATCTGAAGCAGGCCCAGACGCTCAGTTCAGTCGGCCATCTGTCTCGGGTTCGGCGTATCTCGGACCCTCCGTGGCGTTTGGAGTCCAAGCTCAGAAGAAAGCTGAGACCTCGTCCCCCACGATGGAAGATGCCCTGAGAACAGAAAAATCAGAAGATGGGGTCAGACAAAGGGTTTTCTGTGGTCCTGGTTTGCAGGAACAGGGACTGACCTTCTGTGGAAGCTGTTGGGCCACGTTGGGACATAGTCCCTTCAGCCTGGCGAGATATGAGTCTGGGGTACCTGCACAGGCAGAGAGCCATTCAGACCTGAAAGAGAAAGAGACAATCAGGGTTCGTGCAGACCGTAGAGGATCCAGCAGATTAAAAATGAAAATCCAAGTCGAGACCTTGGAATCTTAGGGCCATGTCGCGAGCTCTGGTCGCCACACCAGCACATTACAAGGCTCCCAGCGTCATCGTGACCTTCAGGTCGATGATGTCACTTCCTGCCGGTTCACCCAGGGTGGCTGAGGGGAGCGGAAAGGTCAGTGTTAATAAACATATAGAAGGGTACACAGGAAGACCTTCAAGCGGGTACGCTGAACATCATGTCATAAGCATAGGTGTATACCCAAATTGTACGGTGCTTGGGTGTCAATCAAACTGCCGCCCTATGTCCCCTATTATATCTATTCATCTCCCAGTACAGGCATTAGCTCTGAGTGTTAGCATGCTAATGTAAACGCAGACCATATTACTTCCAGAACACGTCTCATTGTTTCTGACAGCAACGTTTCTGATTGGCCCGTGGGTTTAAAGCCCGCCCACATTTTAGTAATGTGGTCATGACGCAGCAAATCTGGATCAGCTCCGTTGTTGCCCCGTTTTTAGAGATGTGGGTACGGAGGAGAAGAGAGAGGGGTTTACTTCCTGACACTTTGAGAGTCTCCTGACACACCGGGGACACATGGTGACACATCGGGGACACATGGTGATGTAGAGAAGACATCAGGAAGTGCATTTTGCATGATAGCCGGGAACACATGGATTAGAGCAAGACATCAACTTAGAAGTCTCCTGACACAGCCGGGGACACATGGTGAGTAGAGAAGACATCACTTTGAGGAGTCCTCCTGACACACCGGGACAAGTGATGTAGAGAAGACATACTTGTGAGTACCTGACACATCCGGGGACACATGGTGATGTAAGAGAAGACATCAGAAAAGTTGCATTCGCATGATAGAGATCTTTAAATAAAATCTATTATTTATTTATCAGTATTATGTTTGATATGTCTGACGGACTGGCGGACTCGTTTCCGTCCGTCTTCATCCTGATGTCTCTCTCCGGAGACGACGTCCTGCCCGGAGGACAGGTCGCTGGCACAGAAGCGATGGCGACAGCAAGAGCCTCGGAGTGGACATCAGGTCTCAGAAACTAAAACCACCTGAGACAATAACTGTTAAAGAATAGCTGAAAGACCACATGGAGAACAAAATCTGTTTAAGAGAATAGCTGAAACCACGCTGGAGACAATAACTGGTTAAAGAAAAGCTGAAGACCACCTGGGAGAACCAATGATCAGCGACTGCCATCACTAACAGAACAGCTGAAGACCTACCTGGAGACAAGAATCTGACTCAACACAAACCAGAACACTGAGAGACCACTGGAGGCAGAAACTGGCTCATCACTAACAGAACAGAGAGCTTCCTGTAACACACTAAAAACTTCCTGTGACACAACTAAAGACACCTGTAACATCAACTAAAGACTCCTGTTACAAAACTAAAGACTTCCTGTTAACAAACTAAAGACTTCCTGTAACACACAAACAACTAAAGACTTCCTGTAATACAACTAAATATCCTGTTACACAACTAAAACTTTCGGTAAAACAACTAAAGACTTCCTGTAATACAACTAAATAGACGTCCTGTAACACAACTAGAAGACTTCCGTTACAAAACCAAAAGACTTCCGTACACAACTAAAGACTTCGCTGTACCACAACTAAAGACTCTGTAACACAACTAAAGACTCTCTTTACACAACTCAAACAACTCAAAGACTCCTGTAACACAACTAAAGACTTCCTGTTACACAACTAAAGACTTCCGGAAAACAACCAAAGACTCCTGTAATCACGAATGACTCCTGAACACAACTAAAGACTTCTCCTGTGAACACAACTAAACAACTAAAGACTCCGCTAACCACAACAAAGATTCCGGTAAACAACTAAAGACTTCCTGTACACAAACTAAAGACTTCGTAAAACCAACAAAGACGTCTGTAATACAACGAAAGACTATCCGGTAAAACAACTAAAGACTTCCTGAATACACGTAAGACTTCCTGAACACAACTAAAGGACTTCCTGTGACACAACAAACAACTAAAGTACTCCGCTAAACACAAACTAAAGACGTCCTGTTACACAGAGCGAGAGCAGACTTCCTGTAACACAACCTAAAAGACTTCCTGTAATACAACTAATACTTCCCTGTACAACTAACCTAAAGACCTTCGCTGGTGACAAACAAACAACTAAGACTTCCTGTAATACAACTAAAAACCTTCCTGTAACACAACTAAAGACTTCCGTAACACAACTCACACAAGACTTCGCTGTACATATAACTAAAGACTTCCTGTGACACCAACTAAACAACTAAAACTACCGTGACACAACAAAACAACTAAACTTCCTGTAATACAACTAGAACTTCTGTAACCAACTAAAAGCCTGTAACCAAATAAAGACTTCCTGTAATACAACTAAGCTTCAATGTAACACAACTAAAGACTCTGTAACACAACTAAAACTTCCTGTAATAAACTAAAGATTATTACACACTAAAGACACCTTATCTGTACACAACACAACTACAGACTGTCTGAATACAAAAAAACTTCCTGAACACAACAAAGACTTTCCTGTAACACAACTAAAAACTTCCTGGTAACATTCCAACGAAAGACTTCCTGTTACAGCAACTAAAGACTTCATGTGACACAATAAATCAACCTAAATACTTCCTGTCAACACAACTAAAGACTGTCCATTATTACAGCAACTAAAGACTTCCTGGAATACAACAAACATAAAGGAGACCTTCCTGCTAACACAACTGAAAGACTCCTGTAAACGCAACTAAGATACTTCCTGTAACACACTAACACAACCTAAAAGATTCCTGTAACACAACATGAAGATTCCTGTGACACAACTAAATATCTTTCCTTTACACAACTAAAGACTTCCTGTGAGACAACTTAAACAACTAAAGCCTCCGTAACAAAACTAAAGACTTCCTGTGACACCATAAAGATTCCGTAACAATGCAACCTTGATGGCACTTTTAACGACCCCCGTGTGGCCCAGTGATTCCTGCTCTGGACTCTTCTGC